ACCTCTGCTGGTTGAAGATCTCCGTGCAGGGACTGGGATGGAGCTCCTGGCAGGGTCCCAGCAGTTCCTGCCGCTGGCATCAGCTCCTCCTCCTCCTCCTCCTCCTCCTCCTCTCCGGGCCCTGCAGGAGGGACAAACCGCTCGGGAGTGGCTCCGCATCCCCGCCAGGGCTTGAGAAAGTTGTTGTGGTCTCAGGTTTCAGGCTCCCGAGTGCCGGGAGGTTTGGGGATGGCGAATGGCACTCGGCTCCATCTGCCCCGCGCTAATCCGCAGACAAACGCGGCTCTCCATCTGTGCAGCCGGAGCCGCCGAGCCCATCACACCAGCCACTTAATCTAAATGGCTTTGGCCAAAGATAAGGTCATTAATTACACTGGGATTAGAAAACTGTCCGGGCCCTGGCGTGGCTTGGCTCGCCAGCACTTAAAGTCCTCGGCACCCTGCTCTGGCTGAGCATGGAGCAGCTCCGTGTCCTGGGCATCGTCCTGGTGGCACTGCCAGCCCTCGGGGAGTCCCCTCGCCCGGATTTTGGCACTTTGGTGTGTCCCAGGTGGAGCAGATGCTGATCCAGGGTCCCCCTGGCACGGTGGCAGCCCAAATCCTGGTGCCCAGCAGTGAGGGGTGCACGGGCAGCACCTTCCCATCCTCACCCCATCATCTGCTGCGTCCAGGAGCCCCTGCCAGGGYGCCACACCGAGCTGGCCCTGTCCTGACAGGGGTGGCCGCTGTCCCCTGTCTCTGAGCTCGAGGTCTGCCTGTGGTGATGGAGGAGTTGATCTTCCTTCCGCTTCYCCACCTTTCATTTCCCTTTTCTCACCCTGATGCGCTGCCCGCAGGGGTTGCTGCTGTCCCCACACTGAATTCGAGGTGTGTCCGTGGTGATGGAGGAGTTGATCTTCCTTCCTCTCCTCCACCTTTCATTTCCCTTTTCTCACCATCTTGGGGCTCCAAACTGCCCCGATCCTCTCATTTCGCAGGAAATGTCTCAGCCGCGCAGCGCTGCCCTTTGCTGGGGTGGCATGTGCCACCTGCTCTGCCCTCAAAGGTGCCACTCTGGGGACAGTCGGGGCCGGGATGTGGCCTGGCAGGGAAGGGGCACCACGGGAGGGACATTACGGGCTCTGTGCCAGGACCTGAGCAGCGCTGGGACACCGGGACACAGCTGCCACCTCCCCAGCACCGGTGACCAGCTGGTGTCTGTGCCCGTGCTCGCTGCTGGCTTTAGGGGACCCGGCTGTCCCCTGGGGGATGTCCCCGCCTGGTGACACTGTCCCCAGCCCGGTTCCCACACTGCAGGGACGCTCCTG